GAACATGTGCACCCAGGTGTCCGCGTGTGTCCACATGTGAGAGTGATTGTGTATTTGAGTGTGTATGTGTGGGTGCACTCGTGTGTGTATGGGAGCATGTTGTGTGTCCTGCGTGTGTGAGGATGGTGTGTTGGTGTGTGAGAGCATGTGTATATGGGGTGCTTTTTGTGTCTGTGTGTGTATCAGTATGTGAGAGTGTGGGCATGTGTGTGTGAGCCTGTGTCAGCACGTGTGGGAGTGGATGTGTGTGTGTGAATGTATGAGAGCATGTGCGAGTGTTTTTTGCTGTCTTTGTGTGTGTGTCTGTGAGCATGCAGATGTGAGGGTGTGTGGTGTGTGGGTGGGCTGGGAGGGAGGTCACATGTGCTGGGCAGTGCAGAAGGGCTGATGGGGGCAGGGATCCCATCTGATGCAGGCGGCCCTGTGGTCTGACAGAGGAGGTGGTGAGGAGTGGTCCCTGTGTGCCGAGGTGGGGGCCGACTGGGGGAGGCGGGCCACCCGCAGCTGCCTGGACACTGGGAATTCACGGAGGACCCGGAGAGCGCCCAGCCCACACCGTCTGCACGAGCAGGCTCGCCCTTCCTTGACTCCCTGTCTTGCCCAGCAGCCAGCTGGTCGCTGCGGCATTGGAGTCAGGCACAGCAGAGGTCCCATGAGTGTGGGGTCTTGGACAAGTTGTTCACTTCTCTGAGTGTCCGTGGCCTCCACTGGGAGATGTGAATGACACCTCTGCCTTGAAATGGGGCAGCGAGGAGGGCAGAATGAAGGCACAGTAGGGCCAGCAAGTGTTTGCTGGGAGTCTGTGGTCTCAAGGCTGCAAAAGTGTGAATGCCTGGGTTCCCCACACAGCCTCAGGAGGCGTGGAACCTCCCCCCATTTTACAGCAAGAACTCTGGGGCACAGGGAGGGCTATGAACCTGCTTCTGAGGGACAGGCTTCCCTGGCTGGCACTAGCACTACACAACAGGCCTGTGTGAGGGTCAGCAGATACAAAGTTCTCCTCACTTTTGAGATCCTCCAGAGGTGTCCCCTCGTCCCCTCCAGCCTTGGAATGACCCTTCCAGGGGTTAAAGAAGACAACTGAGTGTTCGTCTCCCATGAACACTACCCCACGGAAGGCCCTGGGTTCCTGGAATCCTGATCTCAAAGAAATGGCACAGATGGTGGTCTGGGAGGCCAGTTCACTCCCTACAGGAATAGCCATGACCTGAGGGCATGTAACATGGTTGGGTGCCATTTTCCATTCAGCCATCAAATATTTACTGGGCTCCAAGTCCCTGTAGGGCACCAGGGCTCAGAAATGGATACATTCATCTCTGCCTGCAAAGGGTCTGTGGTTGAGGAGGACAGATGAGGACTGTGTCAGGTGGCAGATGCACAGATAAGGACAATGCCAATGGGGCACAAGAGGAAGCCCGGGAAGTGGTGGGAATCCAGAAGGGGCACCCTCTTCAGCCAGGATGTGGAGGAGCTGTTCAGCAGACCCCTCCCGCCCTTTGCTGACATCTCCTGCCTGGGCTGCCTCCCTCTGCCCTCTGCAAACATCCTGTTTCCAGGACGCCTGCCCAGACCACAGTCTTTCCTACTTTCCCCTTCTGGGGAATTCCTGCAGCCTTGGGCCCCCACAGTGGAACCGAACATCTGCTGTCTTTATTGCTTCTGTTTTTGGTACTTCTGTTTTTGGTGCAAGGGACCCACCTCCACAGTTAGACTGCATCCTCTATAGGGCACAGCCTCAATTTTATATTCCTCAGGGACCTCCTGTTCCTCCGGGGCCCCAGTGCCTGAGTGGCCCTGCCCCAGATCAGTAGGCGCTGATGCTCATCAGATCTCTGCTGATGCTCAAGTCTGGGGGGTTCTTTGTTTGCAGCACCCGAGCTGAGCTGCAGAGGAGATCCTAACTGCTGAGTCAGGGGCCCCGATTTGCCAAGCAGGATTGAGTTTCATTAAGTGGGGATGAAATACAAATCCCCCACCGCATTCATGGGATTGATGTCCAAGGCGCAGCTGCCATTTGTGTTTTCAGATTTGCAGTTGGGGATCATTGTGAAACTTGATTGCTCTGTCTTGGGGACTTCTTAAAGTCCAACTCCACAATAAAGCCAATCAGACGGAACCATCAAATGTCAAATAGGAGCTAATGAACCATTCACAGGCTTGGGAAAGAAATCAGGCAATCTCTTATTTCAGGATTATCCCTTCCAAATATTGAATCTGAACTGTAAGCAGAATTTTCTATAATTGCATCCCCCTCCTCGTGGGTGTGGGGATCATTGGCATTCACTTCATGTCTCTGCTTTCTGGAGAGAGGCTTGACAAGCCGACCCGTGGCTTTCCACAGGCTCACATTCCTGGGGACATCGTTCTGAGAGGGAGGCAGGGCAGAGGTTGCCGGGATTCCTTCTCCCCAGGGGCTGGGTGTGCCAAGAGCTGCTGGCAGCCTCCCCAGGAGAGGGGAGAAGGGAGTCTGAAGCTGGGGAGGGGGATCCCATCACATATGTCCCACCGGGTACTTGGGTGTGGCCTCAGGAGAAGAGGTGGAGTCCAGAGAGAATGTAATATGTCTAGTCTCTCTCTCTCTCTCTGCTGCATTAAATCTGCAACAACAAGCATCTTTACAGCAACTTAGTGTAGACTAACATCTGAGTACATGTGCTGTTTTTTGGTGCCTCTTTGACACATCTGGCAGGTGATTTGGGTTATGATGAAGGGTTTGCCATCACTTCTGCATGGGGCAGTGCTGTGATGCAGAAACATCTTACTCTGATCCGCATTCCTTTAGGAACTTAGGGTAACACCAGGGTGGGTGACTCCCTGCAGCAGAGATGACTGATTGTCCATCAGAGTTGATCTCCCCTTCTAAGCGGTCTTCCAGACTAAACTGTCGTGGCTGGAGAGCAGCCGTCTGGCTGGGGACTTGAAGCTAGGCTTGGTCACGTGACTGGTCGTCATCTGCAGAGTGCCACTTGTAGCTCAAGGCTCTTAAGAGTCCACGTGCCTCCTCCATCTCGATTTTTGCATTTTAAGGAGTGGTTTCCTGTGATGTCAAGGCTCCCCAGGTAGCGGGGACCAGGGTTCCTGAATCAACATATTTGGGCTGGAGACCATAGTAGATAGAGTGCGTTAAATGGGTCTGCATCTCACTCCTCCTTGTGTCTGTGTCTATTGTCGTGTGGACTTGGAGCCCTTCCCATAAAGCTGGAGTACCTTGGCCAAAGCACTGTATGTACTCCATTGCAGTAAAATGAGGCAGAAGTCATGGTGTGTCAGTTCCAAGGTCAAGTCACAAGAAATCCTGCATGTTTGTCTGTTAGCTGCATCTCTGCCATCTCCACATGGACATTCCTGACTGTTCTGCTGGAGATGGAAAGACACAGGATGGAGCCAAGTCATTCCGCTTGTACAGCTCAGATCAGCCTTCAGCTGGCAGCCCAAGGCGTGGGAGTGGGTGCAGGGGGATGAGCAGAGCTGTCTAACCAAGCCCTCTCTGACCCCAGATGGCTGAGCAATCAATGCTATTGCTGTGTGCCACTGAAACTTGATGGTTGTTTGTTACATGGCATTAGGACAATAGATGACTGATAGAGCGGATTACCAACCAGGAATGAATCCTTGCCTCAGACTGCTATGTGTGAGCTATTTCCATTGTGATTGAATGATTGTATATTTCGGAGAGGATCTGTAATAGCAATTTCTTACCCCAGTTCACATGCCCCACTGCTACTCCCTCATTGCTTCAGGATTCAGGGACCACAAAAATCTGGCCCCTGAATGCCATCTGGCTCCATCTGGCATGTCTCTCCCCTTTTCTTTCTACATCCTAGTTGCATTGGATTTATTTAAGCCCTTGAATGCCCAAGAAGTGTCCATCATTATGATTTCATTCTCTTTCCTCTGCTTAGAATGCCCCCTCCCCACATAGCATAGCTAGCTCTCTGCTGAACGTCCCTCCTTCCAGCAAACTTACCCCAATGCCAGGAGGAGGTCAGCCCCCCAATAATATGGTCCCAAATCCCTCTGCACGTCCCAGTGGCACTCAGCTCCTTTGAGCGTCCCAGCCCAGGTATGCCTTCTCCATGGCAGGATCTCTGTCTGATGTGCTCGTGGTGTGACTCTCCCACCACACACATACCCGGCATGCTGTGCATGCTCAGTGAATATTTCTTGACTACATGGGCTGGTGTCAGTGACATTTTCCAGAGTAGAGTCACTCGGCTTTTTCAGTGGAACACCTCTGAGCTTGTGAGGACACATTGGGTACCTGGATGTCCTCCAGATACACTGTCCAGTTGCATGCTCATGCCACTCCCCGCCTTCCCCCTGAGCTCAGGTGGCCATGTTGTGAGTGCTATGGATTCATTAGCCTGCCTGGAACCAGATCCTGGCTCCACTCTTTACTGACGGTGACACTTTGGAAAAGGTCTGAATGCCTCTCCATCTATAAAATGGGGATTATGAGGGTATCCATCTTGCAGCTCTGTTTTTCATTGGGCTGCTCTGAGAAATAGATCAGTGAATATATGTAAAGCACATACACAAAACCGCATATGTAGTAAAAGCTATAAAAATATAAGCTATTATTATTCAAGGTTAAGGACTAGATATTATTCATTTTTGTATCCCTCCCAAATTCCTGACCCAGTGCTGGCAAAAAGAATGTGATCGGGTCATGTGCAGTGGCTAATGCCTGTAATCCCAGCACGTTGGGAGGCTGAGGCTGGTGGATCAAGAGATCAGGAGTTCAAGACCAGCCTGGCCAAGATGGTTAAAACCTGCTTCTGCTAAAAATACAAAAATTAGCTGGGGGTGGTGGTGGGCACCTGTAATCCCAGCTACTTGGGAGGCTGAGGCAGAAGAATTGCTTGAACCTGGGAGGTGGAGATTGCAGTGAGCTGAGATTGCGCCACTGCACTCCAGCCTGGGCCACAGAGCAAGACTCGGTCTGAAAAAAAAAAAGGATGTGGTCAATAAATGTTTTGTCTTTGATCTTTTTTTTGCAGTGCAGAAGTCTTTTTTGGAATAGATCCCAGCAGCCCAGGCCCCTTTCCATTGGTTCTCAGAGTGTGCTTCCCTGAGGATGGCGCTGTGTAAACAAAGGTATCTTATTCTTTGTCTTCCTTCTTTTTCTAATCATTTTCCTTCAGGCATTTCTGGTACCTAATATGCTCAATATGCACGCTAATTCTCTTGTCCTTAACTTTTCTTTTAATGTACAATAATGCTAGCAGCATGCTGGGTACACTGCAGACATTCTGGTCTTGCCATGGTAACATTTGTGGGGCATTCCTTTTTTAACAGTGCCTATTCGCTCATTGCCTATGACATCACATTTTTTGTAGAGTCACATGTATATGGCCAACGGAACAACTCCATGTTTTCTGGAGGCCCGGAGAACATGGTGGATGTCCCTGCTCCTTCTTTTTGTGTTTTCTGGTGTGTTTGTAACTCCACACCCGGACGAGTGGACAAGCAAAGCCCAGAGGCAGCAGCCTCTCGTGATTCTAGGAGCGGCACAAACCACTCATGGGCACACTCCTTGGAGGAAGTCACTGTAGACTGATGGCTTCCAGCATGTGTTTGGGCCAGAGGAACTAAGCTTGAATTCTAATTTAGCCACTCCTTAACCATGCTGGCTCTCAGTTTCCTCATCTGTAAAATGAGGACAATGATTGTACCTTCTTCTTAGGGTTGTTTCAGTGGGTAAATGAGGTAAACATTCAGCCCATGACTGGCATAAGAAATAATCAAATGCTTATTAAACATAAAACAAAGTAGACTGTGCAGGTATTAACCCAGCACTGGGTTAGGCATTTGGGGGGGATACAAAAAAGGTGATATATTTGTTTTGCATGGAAACCCTTAGTGTGAAGTAGCAATACCAAGGTAACACTTACGTAGCACTTACTAAGTGCCAGACAGGGTTTTAACTCTGTTAACTAAGTTAATTCCTTACTCCGCCCTATGATGTGGGTATTATTATTATCCTCATTCTACAGATGAGGAAACTGAGGCACAGAGAGTTCTCTCTTAGAAATCTCTTGGGAGGCTCTATTTGGATGCAGGTTGCTCAGCAAGGGGGCAGGTTGGTTTGGGATGAGAGAAATCATTCCTAATATTTGGTGGAGCAGTCCTAATATATCCTGACATCTGGGAAACCACCTCCTAATAAGGTGAGTATTCTTTTTTAAGTTAAAAGTTAAGAACTCTTATCCTTCAAAAGTTGCTGTTAAGAGAATGAGAACACAAGCACAGAATGGGAGAAAATATTTCGCTAATCACATAGCTGATAAAGGAATTAGGTCCAGAATGCATGAACAACTTTCAAAAGGCTATAACAAGAAAACAATAATCACACTAAAAAAATGAGCAAAAGATTTGAGCAGACACTTTGACAAAGAAGATAAATGGATGGCAAATAAACACATGGAAAGCACATCAATCCTCATGGTTTTTTTTTTTTTTGAGATGGAGCCTCACTCTGTCACCCAGGCTGGAGTGCAGTGGTGCATCTTGGCTCACTGCAACCTCCGTCTCCTAGGTTCAAGCAATTCTTCTGCCTCAGCCTCCCAGGTAGCTGGGACTACAGGTGCGTGCCACCACGCCCGGCTAATTTTTGTATTTTTAGTAGAGACCGAGGTTTCACTATGTTGGCCAGGCTGGTCTCTAACTCCTGACCTCTGATCTGCCTGCCTCGGCCTCCCAAAGTGCTGGGATTACACGCATGAGCCACCAAACCCAGCCAATCCTCATGGTCTTAATGCAAATTAAAACCATACTGAGATGCTGCACATCCACTAGAATAGTTAAAAACAATCCAACTACACTGAGTACTGGCAAGAATGTGGAGCAACTGGAATACACCGCTGGGAGGAGCATCCAATGGAACAACCACCTCGGGAAACAGTTCAGCAATTCCTTAAAAAGTTAAATTTAGACCTACCTTATGATTCTAGCCACTTCTAGATAAATACTCCTAGGTTTCCCTCCAAGAGAAATGGAAGCACACGTCCACTCAAAGGCTGGTACATGAATGTTCACAGCCACTTTATCTGTCATAGCCCATCGAGTAAATGGATAAACACATTTTGGTATATCTATACGATGGAATACTACTCAGCAATAAAAGAGAACATGTGATAATATGGATGAAACTCAAAATAGTTATGCTGAATGAAAAAAGTCAGGCAAAAAATGAGATCTCTGATTTTATTTATATAAAATTATGTAGAATGCAAACCAACCCATACTGACTGTATTAGTCTGTTCTCACACTGTTAATGAAGACATACTTGAGACTGGGTAATTTACAAAGGAAAGAGATTGCATCAACTCACAGTTCCACATGACTGGGGAGGCCTCACAATCATGGCGGAAGGCGAAGGAAGAGCAGTCACCTCTTACATGGTGGCAGTCAATAAAGGTGTGCAGGGGAGGCTAAGACCGTCAGATCTTGTGAGACTTATTTACTGTCACAAGAACAGCACTGGAAAGACCCACCCCCATGATTCAGTGACCTCCCACTGCGTCCCTCCTACGACACATGGGAATTACGGGGAACTACAATTCAGGAAGAGATTCGGGTGGGAACGCAGCCAAACCATATCACTGACCAAAAGCAGATGGGTGATTGCCTGTGGGTGGGAGAGAGGGAGGGATTCCCAAGGGCCTTGGGGAAGCTTTAGGAGCCATGGATTTGTTTACCATCTTGATTGTGGTGATGGTTTCACAGGTGTACACGTTTGTCAAAACTTACCAGATTGTGCACTTTAATTATCTTCAGTGCTCGCTTGTTAATTATACCTCAGCAAGGCTGTAAAAAACAAAAGTTGTGTCTCATGTGTCAAAAGTGAGGAGTTTGGGAGCTTGTAGAGGTCCCAGATTCAACTCAGGCTCCCTCTAGGTTGCTGTCAACTAAGAAGTTATTTTTAAATTAAATCTGCAATGTAGAGGACAGGCCCTGTACTAGAAACTTTCACTTTGTTTTCTCAGGACCTGGGCAGAGCCTGTGTAAGGAAATATCCCCAAAAGGGAATGGGGTGGTGAAGGGCTGCTCAGAGGGCGTGCAAGGATGGCTTGGGGAAATCCCTTCAAATCTCAGTCCAGTTTTCTGCAGACAAATGTGTTGTTCTGGCCCTTTTAGAAAGCGAGCTGTGTTCCCTAAATCTCCTAAAATGAGGAGGGCGTTAAAGGATAAATGTGTTTCAGTGATGCTGTCAGTCGCGCCCTCCTCCTTGGCACAGAGCTGAGGGAGGGAAGGGGTGTTGAGGCGAGCAGAGCCCTGGGTGTTTTCCCTGCCCCAGGCAGGGTGCAAGTCACTTTCAAGCTCCCCTGGGGAAGTCGGGCTGTCTCATGCATATTCCAGCTTGTCTCCTGCTGAGGCCGACTGGGCAGAGAGGGCAGGCTGACAATGTGCTTGTTCATGGTCTGGTGCACCTGCTCTCCTTGCACAAACTCAAGTGAAGATTTTTAATGATGCTCAGAAATGGTTTGCAATGGAAATAATGACTACATTCCACCCTCCAGCCTCTGGGTGTGTCTGGGTGTTGTTAGGGGTAGATTCCAACCCAAGGCGAATGTCAGTTGGCTTCCAACACCCGTCTAGGAGGCAGATGTGGAATTCTCCCCTCCTGGCTTGGCAGTCTGTCAGGAAGAACCTGTCTGCTGGACTGATGGATAAAGGCAGGCTCAGCATTAAGTAGGCTGTTAGTCTAACCGGCACAGCTGACAGTAGACAACAGAAGGAACAGGCCTCAAGAAGTGGGAGGGAATGAATGAATGAGCAAATGAACACGTGCGTGAGTCCAAGAGCTCATTGAGTCCTGGACCTTTTTGGTGGAATCAATTTTCATTGTGAAGGGATGTCCTGTGCATTTTAGGATGTTTGGTAGCTTCTTTGGCCGCTATCTGGTAGATGTCAATAGCTGATCCCACCCTCTCACTTTCTGATCAAGACAATCGAAGCTGTTTCCAGATGTTGCCAAATGTCCCATTGGGTAGGAATCCCTGGTGGGTGATAGCTGCTGGACTGACTGCTTTGACATCAGTTGTACTGCCAGGAAAACGGCCACACTTAACCTTTCTGAAAACCAGAGATGGGATGAGACTTGCCCTCTTCAATAGCATAGCCACAAGCCACATGTGTATCCTGGACACCTGGAGCACAGCTGGTCTGAATTGACATATACCCTAAGGGTATGAATGCTTAGGATGATAAAAAGAAGATAAAGTATCTTATTAATCATTTTGTTACTGATTACATGTGGAAATGACCATATTTTGGATACATTTGGTTAAATAAAATACATTATTAAAATAAATGTCATTTGTTTCTTTTACTTTTTAAAATATGGCTACTGAAAATGTCAGATGTCCTGTTTGGCTCATGTGATATTTCTGTTGGACAGTGTTGGTGTGGAGAAGGAACGAAGGTTACTCAAATGACCATGAACCAGGGTGATGGCACACTGACAGGAACAGTGGTATGACCGTGACAGCATGTGGGGTAGACAAGAGTTGAAGATCAGGGGTCAGGGGAGGCTTGCTTAAGGAAGAGATGCTAGAGTGAAGATCTGGAAGAGGAGGAAAAAGAGGAGGTGGAGGAGAAAGAGGAAGAAGGAGGAGGAGAGAAAAGAGGAAGGAAAAGGAGGAGGAGACAGGAAATGGGTTTATGCAGAGGAAATAGCTAATAGCAAAGTTGGATGGTGGGAGGGCGTGTGGCACATCTGAGACCAGAGGCCACACAGTGGAGTGCAGGGAGGTCAGGGAACCCAGCAGGGTGGGAAGTTGGCCTCCATCCTAAAAGCAATGTGAGGCCATTGAAAGGATTTTAAGTGGTGGGGTGACATGATCAAATTCACATTTTAAAAAGCTCACTCCGTCTTGGATGTTTTATCTCCTCTCCTAAGAGGTTATAGAAGGCTCTAGAATCAGACTGCTGGGTCAGATTAGGGCTCTCTCACTTCCTAACTGTAATCTTGGGCAAGTAACATAAACTCTCAGTGCCTGTTTCCACGTCTGTAAAATGGGGATGATGAAGATAATCGCATTGACTTCATATGGTTGTTGTGATGATTAAATGAGTTATTATGTGAAGAGTGCTTAGAACAGGACTGGACACATGGTTACCACTCAGTGTTACTTAATAGTAAGTTCCTGGTGTGGGAGGACACTCCATCTTAGAAACCTTGGCTTTTCTCATTCTGGGTTACCTACAAATATGAGTTGAAAAGATTTGTTTTTTACATGTTTCTCTTTTTTATTAGGCTTTTTCTTCTCCCGGGAGAGACCCGAGCTTGGTTGGCGTTCTTGTGTTCTGTCCCATGGGGCAGCTGGAGAACAGAAAGGAAGAAGTTGGGGCCAAGTGTGGTGGCTCATGCCTGTAATCCCAGCACTTTGGGAGGCCAAGGCAGGTGGATCACCTGTGGTTAGGAGTTCGAGACCAGCCTGACTAACATGGAGAAACCCCATCTCTACTGAAAATACAAAATTAGCCAGGATCTACTAAATACAAAATTAGCACATGCCTGTAATCCCAACTACTCAGGAGGCTGAGGCAGGAGAATTACTTGAACCCGGGAGCCGGAGGTTGCAGTGAGCCAAGATCAAGCCATTGCACTCCAGCCTGGGCAAGAAGAGCAAAACTCCATCTCAAAAAAAAAGAAAAGGAAAAGAAGAAAGAATTTGGGGGCACTCAGGACACAAGGAGAGAACTCTCCATGAAGACCTGGATTGCAACTTCTCCTTGACAGACAGCAAGATCGTTGACAGTTTCTTCCAACAACACTTCCTTTTACAGTGAGTCTGAAGAAAGTAGTGCTCTCTTCACAGGAAGGCAAAGAAAAACGAGCTCCCCTTGGCTCTTGCCCATTGTAGTGCCCACACTGCTGGGACAGCTTTATGCACATATTTGGAGAAGTCCTTGATTGTTGAGTTCTTTGACCACATTCCAAGAACCAGCAGTGCCTGCTTGGAGCATGATCACTGGAAGCCAAGACTGGGCCAAGATATGTTGAAAATTGCCCACGAGTTTATAGCAACTTTGGCGGTGTGACATGTATACACAAGAACTCAAGACCTTGAAAATCTGTTTAGGCGCTGAGCTGCACAAATAAAACCAAGTACTGCTGCAGCTCCGCACGTTAATTCAGCTAGGAGTTTTCTACTTATCCATGGGCTTGACTTGCCATCCGTGGGCAGGTTTGGGTGACTGTCCATCGAGCTTATCTCTTGGGAGGATAATATTCGTTCCTTGTGCATGAGGAGCAGAGGAAGAAAGGCTCCTATCGGCCGTGAGGCAGGGAGATCTAATCTTATTTATTCCTATTCCTGCTCCCTACACCACTAAGAACTGAATTTGGTCTGGGCTTTCTTAGAAACTTTTCAGTCTGGAATATACCTTGAGCACTTGAGACATCAGGGGTCCCAAGGGACTCTTGAGGACTTTCTTTCTCTCTAAGGCACAGTGTAAGAGCAGTACGATCCAGTGTGCCACTGCAGCTCCAGGCATCCCATCCCTATTCCTGTTTCCCAAGTAGAAAAGAAGGGGCTGTGAAGAAACCTTCTCCTTGTGTGCTGTCTCATCAGAGAAGAACGTTCCCAAATGTCCCCAGCAGACCTCTGCTTGCGTGTTATTGGCCAAAACCGTGTCACAGGTCTTTCCCCAGGCCAATCACTGGCATCGGATTGCCATGATTGGCGTAGACTGCCATGTTCTATCTCCTAGGCCAGGCACACTGGGCTTTGGTGGCAAGAAAGAAGTGAGGCAGGAACTGTATTGTCCCATAGATCCTTTATCATAAGAGCAATGAGGAGCCATTGTAGGACTTTAAGCAGGAGAGTGGCATGATCAAAAATGTGTTGTCAAAAGTCACCTTGGCAAGGGAGTGAGGTTAACAGAAGCATGAATGCAAATGGGGAGATTAGTTTCTAGCTGTCCAGGTTTTTATCCTAATAGTTGAGTTAGACAGGATTTCACTTTATGTGCCATAAGTATTAATGCTTTTCTTAAGGCTTTAATTTGTTGCATAATAATGCTTTGAAAAACATCCTGAAATCTTTTCCCTTCTTAGTAATTTGCTTTTTGGCCCTCTTGCAGCCCTTAAGGCTGGGCTGGGTGGCCAGCCTCCTCCAGGGAAAGGAGGGGGAATACCTTCTAAAACAAAGACTGCATTTCTGAGCGTGGAATTAGACTTTAAAACACTCCTGAAGACAACAGTCTAGAACAGGGGGTGGCATGCAGTCAGACCCTGTGGCGTTTTAGTAAATAAAGTTTTATTGGAAACAGCCATGCTGGTGTGCTCAGGTACCATCTGTGCTGCTTTGATGCTACCACAGCAGAGCTGGGCAGCTGTGACAGGGACTGTGTGGCCCACAAAACCTAAAATATTTACAATCTGGTCTTTTACAGAAAGGAAGTTTGCTGACTCTAGTGGAGAAAGGCAGGCTTTGGAGAGAGCAGGCGTTTTCCAGGAATATCTGGAGCTGCATTTTTACATGCCAGAATCCAAAGCCTGGAGGGCTCTACATAGAAGAGGAAGGATGAAGACATATCACAGGGACGGTTTTGCCACCCAGTACTAGGGACAGTCCCTCGAGTGAGAGGCAGGCAGGCCTGGTGAGTTTTGGGTGTGAGTGATGTCCTATCCTCCCCTTCAGAGTCAGAACTCCTAACTGCCTGCCAGGCATAGCTCGGGGACATTCAAGACACCAAGAACGTTCTGCATTTGGCCTGGTACTGCTCAAATGTGGCTCAGCGAGGCAGGGTAGGTAGCAGTGGCCCAGGAGGCTCCTCAAAGCAGCCTCACCTGATCCCATCACTCCTGTCTCTGCTTGGACAACTTGGACAGTGGAGAAGGCCTTTTTCCCTTATCCCTCACTCTCACTCCACTGAGCCAGCCCTTCCTCTCCATACCCACAAAGAACTTCAGACCCCTCTTTTCACAACACTCGCTTGACCTGTAATTATTCATTCAGTATCTATTTAGCCTACAAACAATTAATCCTCTGAGGCAGGGACTATCATTTGTTTATGGCTTTATGCTAAGCATCTAACTCATTGATAACACTAAGCGGATATGCAATGAAGGAACGAGTGAGTAACTCAAAAGACCACTGCCTAGGTTATCCCTCTCTGTTTGCTGTTTTATTTCAAATAGATGTTGGCATCATCACGTTGAAAGGCAAGATCCCCATCTATGAGAGGAGATGAGAAAACCATCAGGCTTGGTGGCTACCTTTGCTGGCAACACTTGGAAACCACAGAAGGCCCTGGAGCTAAGACATGTTCTGTGATGCTGAAGTGTCTACATTGACATGCACCTTTACCAGCCTCTCCAATAAACGTTGCTGGTATTTGCAGGGAACAAAGACTCCCACATCGGTTTCTCCTTTGGGGAAGTGAAGCCAACTGGCCACCATCTAACTGAACCAATCAGCCTGAGGTATGGCAAGTGTGCACACGAACAGAACAAGATGTCACAGGAGCAATAACCTGGCTGAAGTGCCCTGGGACAAAGAGAAGTTGGTGGGGGTTGGGCCAAATAATTCAAATAATTTGGTGATTTTATGCTTGAACATTATTCTTCAGTAACTAGTTCAAAAAATGAAAAAAAAACACAATCTCCACAAATTTCTACCGAAATCAATAATAACAATAAAAGGCAATCTTTGTTTCATGTTCAACAAGGGCTGGTTGCTCTTCTGAGTACCTGACATACGTTTCTTGTTTAATCCTGACAACTACCCTATAAGACACCCGTCATTCATTCATTGAAAAGCTGTTCAAGGGGCACCTACCTGTATCAGGCCTTGTGCAGGCCCTGAGATGCACAAAGACAGGAAACAAGACAGGCAGGGAAGGTCCCTGCACTCCTGGAACTTACATTCTTGTGGGACCATTATTAGTCCCAGCCTATAATCTGAAAAAAACAAAGTTCTGAAAAGCCCAGTCATTTGCCCCAATTCTGTGTTGAATAAATAATTTGATCAGGCCAGGATTCAGTTCTAGATATCTCTGACCCTAAAATGCCTAACCACTTCTCCTGCTGTGTTTTTTTTTTTTTTTTTTTTTTTTTTTTTTGAAACAGTGTTTTGCTGTGTTGCCCAGGCTGGATGGAGTGCAGTGGCATGATCTCGGTTCACTGCAACCTCTGCCTCCCGGGTTCAAGTGGTTTTCCTGCCTCAGCCTCCTGAGCAGCTGGGATTACAAGTGTGTGTCACCATGTCAGTGTAATTTTTGTATTTTTAGTAGAGATGAGGTTTTACTATGTTGGTGAGGCTGGTCTTGAACTCCTGATCTCAAGTGATCTGCCTACCTCGGCCTCCAAAAGTGCTAGGTTTATACGTGTGAGCCACCGCACCTGGTCCTCTTGCTGCTTTTTTCGAGTGCCAATTCCCAAGAGGTTGTGCCGATGACCCTCTATAAGACTCAGGAGTTCTCTGCTGCGTTGTTATACAGACAAATCCTTTCTCTTTATTTTATTTTATTTTTATTTTTCGAGATGGAGTCATTCTCTATCTCCAGGCTGAAGTGCAGTGGCATAATCTCAGCTCACTGCAACCTCCAACTCCGACTCCCTGGTTCAGGCAATTCTCCTGCCTCAGCCTCCTGAGTAGCTGGGATTACAGGCATGTGCCACCAAGCCTAGCTAATTTTTGTACTTTTAGTAGAGACGGGGTTTCACCTTGTTGGCCAGGATGGTCTCGATTTCCTGACCTTGTGATCCACCCACCTTGACCTCCAAAAGTGCTGGGATTACAGGTGTGAGCCACTGAGCCCAGCCTCTATTTATTTATTTTTAGAGGAGAAAAGGTTTCTGTGCTTGGAAAGTGGGAGGGAGGGAGATAGAGGTGCTCCAGTTCTGTCATGAGGACACTCTCCTGTGTGTCCTGCTTTCCTGGGTGTCAGCTTTCTTCTCAGGCAGGAGCTGGCCATGGCAGCCTCAGGCTTACAAGGCCCTGGCAATTGGACATCCTAAGAGGGTCCACACATCTTTTTCCTGGGCTCTGGCAAATACTGGGACTATGACCTTCCTGGGGATATGTACCTTTCCTGACCTGCTCACAAGGCCAAGCATATAAGTATTATTTTTATAATTATATTTATTCTCTGATATGTTATAGATGGCACAAAATTTGAGAAGTTAAAAACAAGTTACAAGAAACAGGTCCCCCTCTCACCCTGTCCTCTAATCACCTGCTTCCCTTCCTGAAGCTCTTTGTGTAGGCAGGTGAACAGCACACTAAGACAAAGGGAGTGGAGACGATTGCTGGTGGCCCTGATTAATAGACAAAGATGGAGGGGTTTGCCCCTGAGCCTCCTAAGACTCGACACCCGAGCTGCTTTAGTGTGAGGGGATCCTAAGATACCCCCCAATACAGGCTGAAGACAACTTTCCATGACCACCTTCTGTTCCAGGAAGCCTGCATTTCAGGGCCTCTGAGAAGCCAGGCCAGGGACTGGAAGGAGTGACCCCCACAGGAAATGAGACACCGGTGCTCTGGGACATGCTCTGGGATCTTGTGATCTGGTTTATTAAAAGCCCATCTAAGCATTGGTGCTCAGACAACACTGTCCCCAGCCGGCACGAGACCCAGGAGTTGGGTGGTTGCCCTAACGCACTGTCTCCTCTCAGTGCCTGTGAGCAGCTAGTCCTCCTCTCTCTGTGGCCTCTCTTGGTATTTCTCTTTAAGAAATGACTTTCAAAACACCCTGGGTCTCTCCTATCCAGTTCTTCTTTTTTTTTTTGAGATGGAGTTTCGCTCTTGTTACCCAGGCTGGAGTGTAATGGCGCGATCTCGGCTCACCGCAACCTCCGCCTCCTGGGTTCAGGCAATTCTCCTGCCTCAGCCTCCTGAGTAGCTGGGATTACACGCACGCGCCACCATGCCCAGCTAATTTTTTGTATTTTTAGTAGAGATGGGGTTTCACCATGTTGACCAGGATGGTCTCGATCTCTTGACCTCATGATCCACCCACCTCGGCCTTGCAAAGTGCTGGGATTACAGGCTTGAGCCACCGTGCCCAGACTCCTATCCAGTTCTTATGCAGGTAAAAGACATTTGAAATGTTGGGTTATTGGTTTTTAAAAAAAAGCCAGGGTACTCAGTCTTCTGAATCTTAGGTGACAGAAAACACAGATGGACACTGGTCACCATCCATAATCAACCATCTTCAGGGGAGCAGGTGGGCTGGCGTCCACTCCACCAGCTCACTTATGGGGGTTGAGTTAGCATTATAGTCAGGCCATTTGGCAGAACCAAGCAATTAATATTTTCCATGTCTGCGGAGCTTGCCCTCAGTTTCAATAGGCCCAAGAATGTGTTAGAAATAGGTATTTTTGACCATCCTTTTGAGATGATCATATGTAGCATTGTCATTCCAGTGTCTAATGAAATAAAAAATATTCAAGGTCATAAAGTTCGCAGGCTATTTTGTTCTATCTTTTATTTAAGTGGATGTTTTCCTTTGCAACGAAGTGTTCTGTTGCCAAAAACCATTTGGCTCTGTTTCCATGCCCCCATCAAATTCTCTAGACTCTCACTAACTCAGACCCTATTTGAGTAAATCATATGCATATTGGGATTCTGTGGGAACTGGGGTTAGAAGTTGCCCATTTTCTCCTTGTGTCAATCCTGCAAACACTCTCTGTCTTCCCTGCCTAGGGCTTTAAGATACTGACAAAGCAGTATCAGGGCTTGCACACAGCAAGAGCGAGTGATAGGTCAAACACTGACTGTTCCGGTGTTCCCCAGGCATGACCCAGCGTCTAAGATCAGAATTGTGCGGACACGGGCTGGAGACCTGTGGCTCCTACAGGGATCACTGGAGAGTGCTGACAGCAGCAGGAGGATGCAGTTCAAAGTGCTGGATTAAGAACTGAGGAACACGAAGACGACTGGGATGTGATCCTATTTTGGGGATTCTAGTATCCAGGATGGGAGATGAACGTTTATTGTAGAAGTATTTATTGCACTTCTACTGTGTGCCAGGCACTGGGAAAACAGAGAGAGGAAGATGGGGGCCCTGCTTGCTTGTAACCCATAACTTGACAGGAGACAGACGTGAGCAGAGAACTGTGATCCCAGATGAGAAGTGGATGCCAAGAGTTCTTGAGAAAGGAGGTGAGCATAGAGGATTAGAAATAGCTTCATAGTGGCTGGGTGCGGTGGCTCATGCCTGTAATTCCAGCACTTTGGGAGGCCAAGATGGGCAGATCACTTGAGGTCAGGAATTTGAGACCAGCCTGGCTAACATGGTGAAACCCCATCTCTACTAAAAATACAAAAATTAGCCAGGCGTGGTGGCAGGTGCCTGTATTCCCAGTTACTCGGGAGGCTGAGACTGGAGAATCACTTGAACCTGAGAGGTGGAGGCTGCAGTGAGCTGAGATGTGTCACTGCACCCCAGCCTGGGTGACAGAGCGAGACTCCATCTCAAAAAAAAAAAAAGGAAAAAGAAATAGCTTTGTAGTGACAGAAGCTTTGAAAGATGCCTAGGAATTTTGTAGGCGCATGAGACAGGAAGGACATTGGGGTGGGGATGGCTGGGAGGGAAAAGAATAGAGTGATAGTAAATAGGAATGTGGGGGGAATAGTAGTAATAACGATGACACTAGCAAATACTAATGTGGCACCATGAGGCTCTGCTCTTAGCTTTTAGGCATATCAGCTCACTTGATCCTCACACAGGCTTATGTACAGATGAGATTGGCTCACTTGCCTAGGATCACAGTGCTTGTTAGGAACAGAGAAGGGATTCGAACCCTGGCAGCCTGGCTCTCTGGAGCCTGGGCTTCACCACTACGCTGTGTCACCTTGTACCATGAGTGCATGATGTGGGAGTGGAGGAAGCTAAGCTGGGAAAGATCTGACATGTAAGTTAGAGCTGGATGGTGATAGCTTTGTCTGCCATCTGTCGGATTTGAGACTTTACTCTGTAGGCACAGAAGGATTCTGCGTAGGAGAGCCTGCAACTAGATCTATGTTTTGAAAAAAAAATCACCCTGGCAGCTATAATATTGAAATAGAAACAGAAGAAACTGAAGACTGGTTTAAGGCTACTGCAGTTGTCTAGGCAAGACCTGGGAGATCTGAAGCTCTGAGAAGAGCAGAAAAATTCAAGAAGGACATAAGGAGTGAAACGGGCAGGATTAGGGGATTAGTTGGGGGATGACAGGAGTTGTCAACGGCCGATGATGCTTGCAGCTTGGGTGCCATTTGGAGCTGCCAGCTCTGAACCATAGCTCTGGGCTGCATGTGGGGACCACCTTCTCCATTAAGATGCTGCTACACGCCCATGCTGGCTCCAGAGGAGGGCACGACGAAGGTCACATTCCCCTGATGCGTCTGTCCCAGTGTGGACACAGGCTCATCTCTTAGTTCCCTTCAGTACCACAGACACCAGCTGTAGGATAACAAAGGAGCAGAGATCTGAGTGTAACACAGAGAGATCCTAGGGCAGGACCAGCCACACCCTCTCACGGGAGCTCTACGGCTCCCTCTTACTGCAGAACATGCTAAACCAGATCTGCTATTCTCCAATCCTGGGGTCCCAAATCCCCAATCGCCCCCACTCAAGAAGGCAAAAAATCTAGTTTGCATTGTTACGACCTCTGTACTCAGGAAGACAAACTCTTGGCATTTTCTAGCAATGCAGTATCTTTTCATTGTTTCAACCTCTCCCTCCAGACTAATTTCTCAGCTCACCTTTGCATACGCAAGAGGCTCATTAAAACATTTTCCCAAACAAAAGAGCAACTTTCTCCCAAAGATGAATTTTGCTGCCACCTCTAGAATGCAGAAACAGCTGCAGGCAACTTTGAAAACTGCAACGTTTTCACTCTTCCTATAATATTAAATACTGCAAAAAGGCCAAGAATGGAGGCCATTGGATTTATCTAGCATCTCATTTAATGAATATTTATTGAGGGAGAATTTCCACCTCTAGGAATAAAGGGGTCAACTGTCTAGTTAAGGACAGCAAGAAAGGTTGGACATGGTAAAAAAACAATGGTCTTTTTTATCCGAGAGCTAAATCAGCCTTATCCAGACTGC